ACTTCTATTTTAGGTAATATTGACTGTCATGCATAACAATTTTCTAGTTTACTCATTTGTAAGTGACTTACTCAGTTTCTCTCCCTTGTTAATTGGAATATTTCATATTTTTACAAAGAAAACTGTATATTGAATAAAAAGTAACTGAGTGCAGGCACACACACACACACACACACACACACACACACACACACACACACAAACACACATACACTAAAGTGTTTGAATTTCCAAAGACCGAAAATTTTAAAGTTTGGACTGTGTTTTATATTGAGAAATTGGTATTAATATGAAATCTTGGAGATAAACAAGAAATTAAAGGTTGTGGTTTAATAGTAATGTATTGGTGAATCAAACTGAAAAGGGGTTAACTGTCCTGATCAGTTTTCTGTCAAAATGACACCAGCTAGAAACATCTGTGAAGAGGGAACCTCAGTGGAGAAAATGTCCCTAGTTGGTAAGATAGATATATCTTATCATATATATATGAGCAAGTGGTCCTGAGTTGTCTAACAAAGCAGGCTGAACAAGCCAGGAGGAGCAAGCCAGTAAGTAGCACCCTGCATGGCCTCTGCTTCCTGCCTTTAAGTGCCTACCCTGTCTGAGTTCCTGCCCTGACTTCCCTCAGTGCTAGGCTGTTACCTGGCAGTGTAAGATGAAATAAACTCTTTCCCACCAAGCTGCTTTGGGTCAAGGTATAACTTGTCCATGCTCCAGTAAACATCCCATCCCATCCATCCTCATACATCCATATTCATGCAAGCAACTTTATTTAAAGTCAACAGGTCACAAAACATGAAAACACAAACAAACCAGAATAACTACTGCAGAAGACACAGAAGTAGGAGGAGACTAGGTGAGAAAGAAAGGGGTTCAGAATGAGAGCTGGATGACAGAGTATAATGTGGGATAAAAATGACCAACTACATTATATACGTGTGTGAAAGAGTCAAGGATAAAAACTGAGAAGAATGCACCTTATGAAGCTGGCAGTGAGCACAGATAACCTTTTAAATAATGAAATGGGTTAAATGAAACTATAAGGCCTAAATCCTTTGTTGTTAAAACTGATTGTTACCGAATGCCATTATTTTGGAGTTCCTTCATCCCTCTTGCTCAATTAAATGTCTTTATAAATTTTATTTGTTCTCCAGAACTGAATTGTAGTTGTTTAAAAATATTTTATTTCCCAATTGCTTTTCATATTCTCAAATAAATTGAGCATAATTACTACTGCAGTTGTATTATGCATGTAATCATTGCAATTTTATTCTTGTATGTGTATTTATTCCTTAAGAAATGGTTGCTGCAGAATGTGGTATGGTGGTTAATATTAACACAGGAGAAAAGAAGTTGCACTTACCCAATTAAGATATGATTTTAGAAACCTGTGTAAAAGGCATTTCCTCCTACTCAACCATTCTGTTCTTTGTAGTTTTAGCTAATCTTTGTAATTACAAGGTTAGATATTGAATAGATTAAGAATGTTTATACTGTTTTTTTCCCTTCATTTTCTCTTTAGCTGGAGATATTTGAGTGATGTCAAGTACTAGCTGCATATTTCAACCCTTTGCCATGCTATTTCCATTTCATACGTTAATTATCATAGATCTTTTCTAAATATAATTAGTAAGTACTTATATTAGGTAACATATTCTGAGTTAGACCGTTTAAGACCACATTCGCTTGTTAATTTCCCAAGACTCCTGTGAATTAATGGTTGTGGGTGTATGCATGTTTGTGAAATGTTGTAGAGTGTCTTCTGAGCTGTCTCAATCCAGGCACTTCCTCTTTCACTTGTGTAAATGCAAAGTGAAAATAATGTACTTTGAATGCCAGACTCTAGAAGAATAAGAGACTTTTCATGCTAACTACTCATGCCTGATAGTCCTGGCTACAGACTTGCATTCCTCGATGGAAAGTACTAATGGGGGGCAAGATGGAGATGGTTCCTATGGAGTACCACTTGCCTTTTTTTGACCCTCATTTTCAGTTAGTTCCTTTTGGAGCTGTTGTTTCTAAGGTCTTTCCTAGATTGGGCTTCAGTGTCCTTGAAGTTCTCTACTGAATAACGTCCTCATAAGCATACATAAGAGAATTTAAAAGAGGTAGTGTTTGCTTTCCATTGATTTATTTCTTCTTCTGCATCTAGTTGGAGGGGTGAGTGTTCAGTTGCATTTTGCTTTGAGCTGAAGCTGTCTAAAGAATCCACATCTATGTTGAAGCTCTCAAAGACCAATTGACTAACTTAACATGATTATGAGGAGATAAAATGTTACATGTGAGAGGCAAATTATCTTGGGGTCATCTTTAGTTCCCTTTAATAGCCATTTAGGCAGCCCAGGGATTTTTCCAAGCCATTACAGTCTCAGAACTATTCTTTGAATATAATTGCAAAAACCTATATTACCTTTAATTTCATTGCTAAATAATGTAGAGTTCAGGGATTATTTTGCTCTTCAAAGCACCAAGGTCTAGTTACAAAGCTACCATAATATGGCTCTAGAAAGCAAACATTCCAATGAGGCAATGTTTTAATTAAAATGATTAGTTGCAATTACACCTAACTTTCCAAATTAAGAACTAATTTCCATGTGATGTGTACCCTTGCCCATACTAATATTTAACTTTACAAAGCACAATTATGGAACCTCCTAATTATCATCATCTCTTACTTACCATACATTTAGTGTTGGAATCCAAGGCTGTCAGTTTTACCTAACTTACATAAAATTTGATGTATTTAGTGGAATTTATTGTTATTCTAGTGGGGAAAAATTCTCTTTTCCATAGTTTTTTTTTCTCGTGAAAAATCTTCTATTCAATAAAATATTGCAGTAAGCCATTTATATTCCCAAATTAAGCCATTAAAAAGTTTGTTATGAAGGAGCTCCTAAGATTTAAAAAGGAAGTGCTGTGTAGTATGTTTCTATTTCCCTTTGTCTTAATAATAGAGGTAAAGCATTACATTCAGAGTGTGTGTGTGGTGTACATGCATGCACATGTATAGGCAGAGGAAAACATCAGCGTCTTCTTCTGTAGCTCTCCACAGCAGACAGGAGATAGGGTCTCTTGCTGAATCTGAAGCGGACCATTTCAGCTATGGTGACTGAGCAGTGAGCTCCTGGAATATGCTGTCTCTTCACCCCAAGTGTAGAGTTTCAGTTATTCTCAGTTATGTCTAGCTTTTTTGCCTGGGCACTGGGGATTGGAACTCAATTCTTCATGAATACACAAAGAACATTTTTATTTACTGAACCACAGTTCTTACCTTAGGTTTTAAACACCTTGCTAAGTAGAAAATTCTGCCCAACCATTTAGTTGATTTTAGATTGTCATTAGGTCATCTTTTGAGTTAAATAATGAAGATTTACTCTGGGAAAACTCTGGATTTTTCTTCCTCTGGAAATCCTTAGGCATCTTATATTACACTCTACACTTTACTTTTCAGAATTTATCCCTCTTAATTATAAAAATCTGCTTGCTTATATTCATAGTAACCAGGAAGTAGAATCAGTCTAAATTTTCATCAACAGATAAATGCATAGATAAACTATGGCACATGTAGCAATGGGATTTTATGATGCTGTAAAGAAAAAAAATGAAAGCCTGACACTTTCCAGAAAGGGGATATAACTGGAGATCATAGTAAATGGGACTCTGGACTCAGAAAGACAAATGCTACATGTTTTCTCCATATGTAGAAACTAAAGTTAAGCAGGTGTGTGTGTGTGTGTGTGTGTGTGTGTGTGTGTGTGTGTGCTTGTGTGTATTGATGTAGGTGTGTTTGTAGCTTATGAAACTAGAAATGAGATCTTGAGAGGGGAGGGATGAGATCTTGAGGGAGGTAGGAAATAGGGTAATAGAATACATGTGTGGGAAAGCAGAAGGTAGATGAACTGGTAGAAGAAAAGCAACCAACTGGAAGGGAGAAAGGATTTTTGTGTGGGCAGTGGGGAATAGGGATGAAAGAACAATGGATAACTACATGCATCTGTGACCATGCCACAGTGAATCTTATTACTATGTTTTGTAACATAAACATAATTTTAAAAATTCACCTGCTCCCACGAGTGGATTTCCTGGTGTATGTGATTTCCCTGGCAGCAAGAACCTTTTTAGTCTTGTTCACACAAAACAGTAACTGGTGTTATGTGATAAGCAGCAAATAAACATAGTGACTTGGATATTATTGTGTTGCTTCCAACTGTGCCACAAGAAATTCAATCTGATTCATGGATGACAAGTTTCCTTATTTTAACGTGTGTGTGTGTGTGTGTGTGTGTGTGTGTGTGTGTGTGTGTGTGTGTATGTGGTTACTGAGAATCTTAATTATATAAAGAATTTGAGAAAGAGTACAATGCTTGCAGGTCTTTACCGGTCAACTTTGGCACACATGTTTTCGAAGCACATAACATCCTTTGGAGGAAGCATGAGAATCTGCTGCTGCTTTGCAAAGTTTGAGCATGGCTCTCTTTAGGGGGTTTTATACCCAATCTATCTGCCAAGCACTTCCTTCTTAGGATTCTAAATAAGTCTTATAACTTCAGAATGTTCCTCAGACCTGCAAGGCTCAGAGAAAGTAACAGTCAGTCTGAAGCTTCTGGGAAGTTATAAACCTAACCTCAGCTGTCCCCTTCTTTCAAGTATATGAAAATACATTGTTTCCTTTCAAAAAATGAATGCAATAGCATGCACAGTTAGCCACTGAAAAGAGACTTCTTTCTGGATTTGTAACATCTTTAATGTATTGGAGTGACAGTATCACTCTCAGATTAAAAATTTTCAACAATCAAATTGTTCACTTTCTTTTATACCTTTGTAGAGTTTGGGGGTTTTGTTTTTGCTTATATTTCCTCAGCACTTGTGTTATGGGGAACCGTCAGAGATGACTACTCAGCCAATTGAAAATCTTTATTCCAGATGTCTGGAACTATACTCAGGTATTTGGTACCCAAGTGCACTTTGAGTGTTTAGAGTAAGGGAATTTTTTTTTTTTTTTTTCAAAAAAACCACTTTAATCACAAGCTAACAGCGCCAGGTGCAATGTCTGGGGACAGACTCTGGGTACAATGCTGTGTGGCAACCACACACTCACTCACGGCTCTGAGAAGGCCCCCAAGGGGGACTTACCTTCAGGGACTGAGCCAAGGGGGAGGGAAAGGGCAGCCCCGGAATGGGGACTGAGATGCCCCATGGGGGAAGGCGCTACTTCTTGGCAAACGAGATCTTCATGGCATTGTTCTGCGTGATCTTAAAGCCTTGCAGGGCATCTCGTGCTGCCCCAGCCTGCACTTCATTGTCAAACTCCACAAAGGCGATGTCGTGCCGCCCGGGAACCAGACGCACCTCCTTGAAGCCAGGGAACTGATTGAAAAGCATGGACAGCATGAGCTCTTTGGTCTCCTCAGGCAGGTTGGTGAGGAACAGAATGTGATTGGGTGGATTCTCGGAGAGAGGCTGGGCAGGCGGCATCTGTCCAGGCATGAGCTGCTGTGGGGGCATGGCCCCAGGGGGGATCTGGCCAGGAGCAAGGCCCGGTGGCGGGATCATGCCAGGTGGTGGCATGTAAGGAGGCTGGCCTGGCATGTGGTGCATAATGCGGGGTGCCTGAGTCATCGGTGGCATACCCGGAACAGGCTGGACAGCGCCCACCACGGGGGCAGCAGCCCCACCCTGAACAGCCATTTTGGCAGCTGGTGTCTCCTGACTCTTGGGCTTCCTCTTCTCTCGTTTGCGGTCTCTCTCCACAAAGGTACCCTTCATCTTGGCAATGATGTCTGAGTCAGTCTTGGCGTACTGGATGCGCATGGGCTTGTCGTAGAAGGGGAAACCTTGCATGGAACGCAGGGCATTAGTGGCGCTGCTGACCTCCTTGAAGATGACAAAGGCCTGGCCCCTCATCTTCAGGCTCCGAGACACCAGGATATCCAGGATCTGGCCAAACTGGGAGAAGATGGCATACAGGGACTTCTTGAGCTCATCCTTCTTGATCTTCTCATTGAGATTGTTGATATAAATAGTGTGGTTGGGACGGGTTTCAGGAACTGCCATGGTGTGAGATGCTCAGGGACAGCTTAAAGGGAGAAAAAGAGACGACTTCAGCCCTATGTTTCCCAAAATTCTTTGTTCCTAAGGGCTGATAAGCTCTGCTCAGGGATCCTTTCAAGAGGAAGTTGGGTAAGATCGGAATTGGGGAAGGATGGCACAGTTTGGCAACAAAGCCGGCGTAGGACTCCGCTTCTCCAGCCCGCGTGCTAAGGGGATCTAGAGGGTAACTACGAATGAGTAAGGGAATTTTAAAGGCAAAAACTATATCCTGGTATCTCACTCAGCAGCTGCAAAGGGAGTTTTTGTGCAGGCAGGCTGTTTAACAGAAGCCAATATAGCTGTTAGCTGGAAGGGGTTCTGCACAAACAGGCAGTTTAACAGAAGTTAAGATAGGTTAGCTGAGGCATCCTAAAATAGAGTTGGGTAAATTTCCATGGGATTCCCAATCAAGGAGATGAAATTCTAGTTAAACCTAAAATGGCCTAAGCAAGAATACAAGATGGAGGAACCTCTGTATTGCCTTGTCCTGTCACATCCCCCACTGGTTCTATGGATATGAATCAAATTGTTGACTCATCTTGTTCTAGGGGGGCATAGCTGGTTCTAAGGACCAGTATCTTGACTGAGTTTATTCTCTGTTTGATGTAGATGGCCATGCAGTTGAGGATGCAAGGTCCAACCATTAGCCCAATCAGGATAAGAATCAGCAGTTAGGCTAATGCTGACAGGTAGGTGGTCAGCCATGGAGACCAGGTAAATAGAGACTGACATGAATTATGTGACCCATGTCTCCTTTCTTCCTTCTTTTTTGAAGTTTTCTCTGACAACGGCAGGGTTTTCCTTAGTTACTCCTGATGGTTGGCAAAGAAACAGCTAGTTTCTCCTAAGGTCATGCAAAGTGCTCCGTTTCATAAAAAGGTCAAGCCTCCCTTAGTTCTGTAAGACAACCTCCACTAGGGAGTCAATGTGGCTCTCCAGGCTGGAAATAGAAATCTCCAAATGGCCTAGGTTTAAATCTGTCTGGGAATTGAGTTCCCTACAGTTTTGGTTCTCAACAATCAAGGCTGAGGTGCCTGTGGCAGTTCCACTGGCTATTACTGTCCCTACCATGATCAGGGTTAGAATTGTGGTGCATTTGACCTTCATTACCATTGACTCAAGACCAATATGAATTCTCCCTTCTTCTCCACTGTAGGCATATACCTGGATAACATAGATCAGTGTATATAGAGTAGGGGTGTGACTTTTGAGTGAGTCAGAAGGGGCACATTTAGTCAAACTGTTTAGTATAAGTAAGCCAGGTAATTTGAGGACATAATGTAGGTATCTTGTCCTTGGCAGAATGACTCACCACTGGTAGGGAATGCATAAAATTATAATCCCTGAAGGCCTTTTTCTAGCTGGTTTTCTCCACAACCTGATTTACCCACCCCCACTCCCTAGACACACATTGTTCCACCCTGGAAGATACATAAGAGAGCAGAGGTCTGATCCCAGCCCATAACTCCAGCAGAAGCCCCCTGCTCCACCTGAGGTCATGACAGTCACAAGAACCCTGATTAAGCCCCTGCCCTCAGACCACCCCAATATCTGTAAAGGAAACACTACTAAAGCTTAAATCACACTAAGACAACTTAAGGAGATCAAGGGGATACAAATTGGAAAGGAAGAAGGCAAACATTTGCTATTTGCAGATTATATGACAGTATACATTTGTGACCCAAAAAATTCTATCAGCGAACTCTTACATCTGATAAACATCTTTGGTGAAGTGGCTGAATACAAGATTAACTAAAAAAAATCAGTAGCCCTTCTATACACAAATGACAAATGTACTGAGAAAGAAATCAGGGAAGCAGCACCCTTCCCAATAGCCACAGATAATATAAAATATTGGGGGTAACTCTCACTAAGCAAGCAAAAGACTTGTATGAAAAAAAGTTTCAAGTTTTTGAAGAAAGAAATTGGAGAAGATATCAGAAGATGGAAAGATCTCCTATGCTTATGGATTGGTAGGATTATGTAGTAAAAATGGCCATCCTATCAAAAGCAATCTACAGATTCAACACAATTCCCATCAAAATTCCAACAAAATTCTTTAGATACTTTGAAAGGACAATTCTCAACTTTATATGGAGAAATGAAATGCCCAGGGTAGCTAAAACCATCCTGTATAATAAAAGAACTTCCAGAGATATCGCCATCGCTGATTCCAACCTCTACTTTAGTGATTGTGGTAGTTTGAATGTAATTGCCCCAATAATCTCATAGGGAGTGGCACTATTAGGAGGTATGACTTTGTTGGAGTGGGTATGGCCTTGTTGGAGGAAATATGTCATTGTGGGGTCAGCTTTGAGGTTTCCTATGCTCAGGATATCACCCAGTGTGTCAGTCAACTTCCTGTTGCCTGCAAGATGTAGGATTCTATGATTTCCTGTACACTACCATGCTTCCCACCATGATGATAATGGACTGAACCTCTGAAACTATAAATAAGCCACCCTGATTGAATGTTTTAATTTATAAGAGTTGCTGTGGTTACAGTGTCTCTTCATAGCAATAAAAACACTAACTCAGAGCTATAGTAATAAAAGTCACATGGTATTAGCAAACAAAAAAACAGACACAGTGATAAATGGAATTAAATTGAAGACACAGATAAAAATCCACTCACCAATGGACACCTGATTTTCTATAAAGAAGTCAGAAAGACACAATGGAAAAAAGAAAACATCTTCAACAAATGGTGTTGTTCTAACTGGATGTCAGCATGCAGAAAAATGCAAATAGATCCATACCTATCACCCTGCCCAAAACTCAAGTCCAAGTGGATCAGAGACCTCAACATAAAACCAGACACACTTAACCTGATAGAAGAATGTCTTAATTAGGTTTTTATTGCTGTGAAATGACACCATGAACAAGGCAAATCTTATAAAGGAAAACATTTGTTTGGGGCTGGTTTACAGTTAAAAGGTTTATTCCATTATTGTCATGATGGGAAGCATGGTGGTGTGCAGTTAGACATGGAGCTGGAGGGGTAGCTGAGAGTTCTACATCTGGATCCACAGGCAGCAGGAAGAGACAGTGAGCCACTAGCCTGGCTTGAGCTTCTGAGACTTCAAAACCCAATCCCTAGTGATCTAGTGATGCAGTTCCTTCAACAAAGTCACACCCATCCACCAAGGTCATACCTCCTAATAGCGCCACTCCCTGTAGGCTTATAACCATTTTCTTACCACCACAAAGAGAAAGTAGGGAATAGCCTTGAATACAGGAGACACAGGAGACAACTTCCTAAATAGAACACCAAAATATATAAAGAACTCAAGAAACTAGACATGAACAAACCAAACAATCCATTTTAAAAATGGAGTACAGATAACAGAGAATTCAAAACAGAGGAATCTCAAATGGTCAAGAAACACTTAAAGACATTTTAAACATTCTTAGCCACCAGGAAAATGCAAATCATAATGATTCTGAGATTCCATCTTACACCTGTCAGAATGGCTAAGATAAAAAACACAAGTGTGAGCTTATGTTGGAGAGGATGTGGAGCAAGGGGAACACTCCTCCATTTCTTGTGGGAGTGCACACTTGCACAGTCACTTTGGAAATAAATATGGCCGTTCCTCAGAAAACTGAGAATCAATTTACCTCAAGACCCAGTTATATCACTCTTGGGCATATACTCAAGAGTTACACCATCCTTCCACAAGGACACTTGCTCAACCATGTTCATAAAAGCTTTATTCATAATAGCCAGAAATCGGAAACAACCTTGTAGCTAGAGTTTTCCTGCCTGACCCACAGTCAGGACAAATCTCTCTCACCCACCAGTCCCAAGCCGCTCAAACCCGATCAAGTAAACACAGAGACTTATATTGATTACAAACTGTATGGCCGTGGCAGGCTTCTTGTTAACTGTTCTTACAGCTTAAATTAATCCATTTCTATTAATCTATACCTTGCCACGTGGCTTATGGCTTACCGGTACTTTACATCTTCCTTGTCCTGATGGCGGCTGGCAGTGTCTCCCTCACCCAGCTTCCTGTTCTCCCAATTCTCCTCTCTGTTAGTCCCGCCTATACTTCCTGCCTGGCCACTGCCAATCAGTGATTTATTCATTGACCAATCAGCAACACATTTGACATACAGACCATCCCACAGCACAACCTAGATGCCCCTTAACTGAAGAATGGATAAAGAAAATGTGGTGTATTTACCCAATGGAGTATTACTTAGCTGTTAGAAAAAAAAGCATCATGATTTTTGCAGGAAAATGGATAGAACTAGAAAAAAAGCATCTTGAGTAAGGTAACCCAGACCCCAAAAGACATACATGGTATGTACCCACTTACAAGTGGACCTTAGCTGTTAAGTGACAATCATGCTACAGTTCCCAGACTCTGAAAGGATACATAACAAGGAAGGCTCTAAGAGGGACTTAAGGATCTTCTTGGGAAGGAGAAATAAAATAGATTTTGTAAGGGGACTGGGAGTGGGTGGGGATTGGATCAGGAGGACCTGGAGGGGAGGGAGTGAGAGAGTCTGGGGATAGATGACTAGAATTTGGGGATATTTTGGCAAGTGGTACAGCAGAAACTTCCTGAAACATATTAGTATGACTGTAGCAAGGACTCCTAGTAATGAATGGTATAATTCCTGAACTGGCCACCTTCTATAACCAGGCAAACCTCCCAATGTTGTGACTGCAGCACCAATCCAGCCACAATACCTTAGTCATATATCCTATTCTGCCTACTAGATGTGCTGGGGAAGTGGTTGCTCAGAGCTTGTGGGAGTGATCAACCAGATTGGTCTAACTTGAGGGACCCCATGCCTCACACTGTCTGGATGGCCAGGAATGGGAAGCTGGATGGCTCAGAGACCTAGGGTAGAACCAAACACAACTGGCAAAAAAAATGTCAATGAAATGAATCCTAATGATATTCTGCTATACTCATAGATTGTTGCCTATCTCAATCACCAGAGAGGCTCCCTCTACCAGCTGATGGGAGCAGATGTAGATACCTACAAGCAAACATGAGGCAGAGCTTGGAGAACCCCATAGAAGAGGAGGAGAAGAGATTGTAGGAGTCAGAAGGGTTGAGGATACCATGAGAATAACGCCCACAGTATCAACTAAGTAGGGCTTGTAGGAACTCACAGAGACTTG